AGGTTGAAATGACTTTTCGTCTCTATTTCTGGTTATATACTCGATGCACACAGTTTATAACAGCGAAGCTTTTTTTGGGTTATATAGTTCTCTGTGTTTTACTGAATGCAATGTAAATATAATAATGTCGAATCTAATTAATCATTATACCTAGATGAGATATAATAAATCATTCACATAACTGTACTGTTTTACATAATGCTATTTTTTATGTTAAATATGTAAAATTGACCTCGTTGTTTGGAATTTATTATTTGTACTATATTATGCTATACGAAAGGGATCTATTTAACACGTGACTCAAAAAGAGGCGACAGTCCTATATCTTTCTACATAAGTTTTGTTTCTAATGACCCTCCCTATTAAACTCTTGGTTATACGGAACGTTGAGGATGCGACGAAAGATAAACGTCAGTCTTCAGACTGGCATTATGCCGAGTCGCAGCCTTTTCATGACAACACATTGTTTTTTGTACTAATTTACTTTATTAATTTACTGTTTATATTTCGTTTTAATGTTATTTCAAATTTAATTTAAAAATTTTAATTTTAAGTTTAATTTTATTATTATTTCTTTATTACCTTTTTCTATTTCTAAATTTACACGTATTTATTGATGTGCTGTAAGCCGTGAATAAATCTTTTTCTATTCTATTCTATTCTACGGCACTATAACCTGTGCAACCAAGCCTGTACAGGGACCGTGTCAGTCAGGTCCTGACCCTAGATCAGCCCGTTTGCACGAACTCCATCCGGTTCTCAAAGGGCTTAGTGCCTTGGGTGCGCTGCCCCTGGTGCACGTACAGCGCCTTCCTTAATAATCTTTTTATAATAAGTGACGGGACGAACAAGTCGTGCGCCTGATGGTAAGCGACACGCCTGTCCATAACAGTAGCAGTGCCACTCAGAGCTTTAAATCACAAAGATCTGAGGCGCACTGCCACTGCGCCCGGTAGGTACCCTGAGACGTAAGTTGACAAGTCCCATGTGCCTGTAATTTCACCAACAGACTTACCCTTCAAAGCTGGAACACAGAAATGCTCACATTCCTGCTTGGCGGCAGAGCTCCCCTGGACGAACTCTTTTACAAGGAGCTACTGCTACTAAATTACAAATTTAATACATATCTATCACTGAAATAAATTATTATTAAATAAATTTAATCTGACTTAACCCAAGATGAAATATGGCGTTCAAACCTGTCCTAATATGTACGTGTAATTAATTCAACTACGTCTCTGATAATCCTACTAACAGGAATAGCCTAGGAATCCTAGAAATAATCTACACCTGTCAGATGTCTGCGTTGTGGTTACAAGTCAATCTGTATTTTTTTATGACTGAGTCTAGAGTTTATATTAGCGATGGTTTACATCGACACCAGCATATTAGATACAAAAATAGATAGATGGAAAATTCTTTATTGTTAGCATCACATACATAGAGGGATTACAGGACAACAATTAAACACATTAGCAGGGTAACAATTGGCGGTCTTATCGCTTACAGCAATATCTTTCAGACAACCTTAGGATAGAGAGAGACTAAACATGAATGCAAACGGGGTGCTAGATATAAACATTTACACATACATACAGAAATTATTAAAGAATTTGTACTTACTAACACATTATACTTATAAATATACATACATATATACAATATACACGATGTAATATAATAACATACAACTACATAATATATCCCTACATACACAATACATGTTTTAAAACCAGGAGAAGCAGCCTCGCAACAATATATTGTTTTTTTTTTATTTTTTTATTTTTTTTTTTATTGTGACTCGGCAAAATGACTGCACCGCGCCTGATGGAAAGTGCGAATACAGTCCAGAGATGAGAGTAACGGATGGAAAACACAAATATCTTCACTCCGTCACTATCATTTTGCCGGTCTGGCCAAATGCTTCTTCACACTACGTTTGAAGGACCCGATGTTATAGAGGGGAGGGAATACATGCGCCGGGAGTTGGTTCCACAATTTGATGGTTCGGCATAAGAACGAATGTTATTATGAAAGGTAGAATTTCTTTACTTGGTTTTTAAATATGTCGTAACAGGGAGAGAGTTCCAGAAACGAACAGCGTGCACAGAGAAAGAAGAATCGTAAAACGAAGTAGAGTGCGATGGCATCTCCAGACTAAATTTTCTGAAGACCGTAATGAGTGAGTGAGTGAACTAAATCTATCCTTAAGGTTGTGTGGGAAAGAGGGGTTGAACATTATGTTGTATAGAAGGGATAGTATATGAGTATTCCAGCGAAGGCGAATAGGAAGCCACTTGAGCTCAGAACGATAGTGAGAAACATGATCATGTTTACGCAAATTTTGAAGACGCTTAAGTTTATTTAGCTAGTCCTCCGAGGGATCAAGGTAGCTGGCGTGGACATAGTCGAGGACTGGAAGCAACAAAGATTGTGCTAGCGCAATTCTAGTAGTAGTAGATAAGAAGTTACGTAGCCATATTGCGATGCCAAATTATGTCAAGATGCCAAATTATTCAGCTGTCATTGTGAACCCATTTAACGCCATCCGTCCGAAACAATTACAGTGTACGTATTGTACGATTCCACATCCGTCCGCAACGATTACTGTCAAATAAGTAATATTTGACAAAATTAAAAGACAAGTATCCAATATGAAGCTTCATTCGCATCACGCGTCTTTTCATTTGGTCAAGTATTGCTTATTTGGCAGTAATTGTTTCGGACGGATGTCGGACAGAGTTCGAGAGTAGACCCCCAGTTCCGAATCCGAGACATGACGGTCCGAAATGTCACTGGGATTATTTTATCTCTAGGTGTACAAGCGATATTCGTATTTTTTCGGATTGGAATCGGACTTAGTGCATAAGCGACATCCAAAGTGGGTCCGAGTTTTCTAGATTTGTGTAGTCTTGGATTCGGACCGAATTCGAATGGGATGCAGTGCACAAACGCGCTTACTGTCAAATAGATAATATTCGTAATTAAGTGTTTTATTGAATTTCAAAATGATTCATCACCACGATATTAAATTATTTTTTTCGTGAAATTACTCCACTACTTTGCTGTTAAAAACCAGATACAAAGATTCGACAACAAGCATAGAAGAATCCGCGAGGTCCGCTGGTTCGTTCCGTGGCTTAGTTGGCAAATGTTCGTATTGATAAACCCTATTTAATAAATAATTCCAAAACATTCTAAACCAACACATAAGGCATGTGTTTGGTTGATTGTCAAACAGCCAGTGTCAAATAAACATGTTTGTTTGTATGCGTAATGCTTGGCCGGACATAGTGAAACTATGTTTATTTTGTTAAGCGAGTTAAAAAGGAGGAGGTACTCAATTGGACTGTATTTTGTTTGTGTGCTTGTTACACGAATACTCACGCTTTGTGAACCGATTTTGATGATTCGTTTTCGTTGAAAAGAGGGTAGCTCAGTATTGGTCACATTTAAATATATCCACCTCTAAGGGTGGCAATCTATAATAATAATAATAATAATAATGTTTATTTCACAAAATAGATTACAATATGATAATGAAGTCCCTGACTCCTGAGCTAGTTATAACCTGGAGCCAGTGTCTTCTCCCAAATTTTGACAAGGCTTAGTCTATTTCATGAGAAAATAGAAAGTAATAGGCCGTTATCTACCCAGGATGCTGCGAGAAGTCATTGAAATTAAAAAACATCCTAATTTCAACAGGGAAGATGGTTTCTTCGTACCACCAGTTTGGGATCCAGTATTTCCTCTAATGAAAAATCCCAACCAGGCATAAGATTTCAGTACTAATTAATATAATAAATTGAACTTAATAAAAATTCATTCAATAAAATAAATTCTAAAACTTACTGTAGCGTAAATTGGAATGTTTCTTTGTAAAATTAAAAATAAGGTATTTAATTAATAACTATTGTAACTATAGTGCAAAAATAGGGTGGTTTGCATCAATATTAGACATAACTGGTTGAAGACTGTACCACCTCAGTCAACGTGACCATGGGACCCTGTAAAGGGCCCGAAACGTCGGTTTGTTTGAAAAAACAAATATACGCGATTTAAATCCGGAAAAATAGTTTCATTTCCTATGTGTAACAATCGCGAAAACCTAAGAACTCGATAGAAAGTAATAGAATTTATTATAATTATAGTACAGTTTCTAATAATTATTATAAATTGGATACATTTTAATATGCAAATTGTGACAAATATGTCTGTATGAGTGTGTGTGTGTGTGTGTGTAGGTTTATATACAGTTTATGTAAGTACTAAGGTATTGTACGAAATTTTCGTGATGGTAAAATTGTCGCCACAAAAACATTTCAAATCTAGGAGTACAATATGTTTTCGCGCACTTTGCGGTAACCGATTACAATAAAACTTGGCAAATTTATGTTATTAGAATGTACCTTACCTATTTCTACCGCCAAGCAGTAATGTCAGCATTACTGTGTTCCGGTTTTGAAGGGCTAAGGATGGTTTAGCAGAATACCTAACAAAATATCACAAAAAAAGTGGCAAACAAAACGTCACAATTTGAGACCCATCAATGAATCCGCTACATTTACGGTGTGGTCACGTGCTCCCTGTGCGCACAGATCTTTACTAATAAGATTGGGTACGTGAGCCACGTGAGAGCGCACGAGTGCCACCAACAACGCAGTTGAAGCAGTTGCCGTGGCCGAAAACCACGGAAGAAAAAAAAAACAGTGGAAGTGCCTAAGCCTCGATTACTATGAGAACCGATGTCACCAAAACTCACGCATACTTAATTTGAAACACTACAAAATCTTGATATTGATTGGTCGCAGTTTGAAATTTAAAAAGAAATAACAAATTCTGGATTGTTAATATCATTTAAACTTTACCCTGTTTTAGGAGTATAAGCTTCTTCGTTTCTCGTCAGGACGGTCAGGAAAATTCATGTATCAAGTAGAAATCCTTGATCTCTGCGTACCCCAGCGGGAGACAAGTGTAAACGTGTAATATTTTAAACTTACCATCAAAACAGAAGCCATTTTCATCATTTTTCCTTGGCCCTAAGGCCTGTATCACATCACAATCGGTTCAGATGTCCACAGGTGTTCACTGTACCACAATACAGTCACTTAATCACATTCCTCTCTTATTCGATGTAATCGAATAACATAATGCGTTTTGTTAATAACTTCTAAGAATAATGTAAAAATATTTAAGTAAATAAATCTCTCTTTATTGCCTTCAATATAAACAAAACAATAACTATAAAAACTTTTAACACAACTACACTCATGATATTAACTAAACATTAAACTGCCCCTGTGGCCGAACGGTTACCATACTGCCTACATTTATTTCTCTCGCGAGTCTATGCGTGTGCCTATAGCACAGGGTTTTCCTAGTGTGGGGCTATAAAGAAAAATGATCCGGAATTCTATACAATTCAATTGAGTGAAGCTGCTGAGCACGAGTCTTCTAAACACTCAGAGGCGCAGGATTTGTTCGTCCCTTTACTAGTATTAAAAACAATCTAGGTCAAGACCCGTGTACAGCTGTGAGACGTCCACGAACCAAGATCTTATTAAATATAGATCAAATTTATTCCATTCCTTAATCTCGACACTTTGCCGTGCAACTTTGTTCGTCCAGTCACTTGATAAAAAAAACACTTGACAAATGGAAAAACAAGGAACTTTTTTATCAATTAAGTACAATAAGAAAGACCTATTTTCAGTAGTCAGTGAGATAGACCGATATCGTTATTTACGACGGCCCGCACATCAAGTACCCTCTTGGAAAGTTCGTACACTTGAAGGCAATAAAAAAAAAACAAGTTGGAAAAGAAAGTGCCCGCAAGTGTAATCTTTTTATTATTTTCATTTGTGGCTAACTGCATTTGCACGATTATTACCAATGAGGTAAAAAATCTGTTTTTTTTTTAAAGAAAGAATATGAAAAATATTGCATTATCTAATTTCATAGACAAACCTCATTCACATACAAACAACAAATAACTGCTATTTTGAAATATATAAAAAAAATAATGACAAAAATCTACTTTTAACGTTGGACAATTAGCTATGAAAAGAAAACTATTTCTACAAAATTATTTCAAAACCTAATAAAGCTTGCAAACTGAAAAGTTTTGCAACAAGTTATAGAGCCCGGCTCAGCAGCTAATCACCTACTTTTACGATAGTATTGACCAATGTCTGCTAAACAATGGCGTTAAAGAAAATTCCTAAAAAAAAATATTCTATACAACACACTTTTAAATTTTTTCACATGTAACACTCACACAAAAAACAAACTCACGATTCGAACTACAAAAGGATTCCAAAAATTCAAATGTTTGGATTAAGAAACTCGTGTTCGAAATTTGAGTGGCGGTGCGCGTGCGCTGGCTGCCGCGGTCGCGAGAGAATGCGCGCCACTTCACTGCGCACCTACCAAGAACTTAGTACTGTTGCACTGTTAAGGCGAAGCCTAGTTTTCAAACTTTTAAAGCATGGATTGAAAAATTCACAATAATCATAATTTTATATAATACTAAAAATAGATACATAAATACATGAACAAATAATTTTAACAGAGATAAATTTAGAAAAACAGTCTGGCCAAGTCATTCACAACAAGTGACATAATCAGCTAAACAAAAGAATTCCGACCCGCCACCGGTCAGGTCTGCCTAAATAGCAAAGCACGTCACAACAGTTTGTTTTTAAAGATTATTTTTAAAAAAAGCAGAACACTAGCATTTTTTTGTGATAAAAGTGACCGGGTGGTAAACGATATGCCTGTCCAAAGCAGTTGCAGTGCCACTCTGAGCTTTAAATTGCAAGCATCTGAGGGCCACTGCCAACACGCCCATTACCTTAAGACCTAAATTGACAAGTTCCATGTGCCTCTGACTTACTGCTTGGCTACTAAAGAGTAGCACTAGATATAGAAAACAATTTGATTTTTGTCGACCCACTAAGGTAACTTAATTTTCATCAAATTTTAAAGAGTTTAAATATTATATATTATTTGAACGCCATAATGGACAATAACAAATTTCATTATGTCCCCAACACTTTATAATGAACATCTCTGAGAAGTAGAGTGAAAATCTCGTACATGTGTTTTTAAATTAGAGTTCTTTTCTGGGTCCCAAATGAACAGTCTTATTGTACTAGTCTTGGGACTACAGAGTTTCTTTTAGTTACTTGTAAACCGTTTGTTATAAAAATTCGATTGATGCTTGCCCGTCGTGGCGGCAACAGTACCATCTGCTGACAAAGGTTAAATCTTTTTTGTGGGGTTTGGATGTTGTCTGACTGGTCCGCAATTAAATAATAACTAATAATTACTGTATTATTTCTGTAGTATATGTAATGGCTTCCAATAAAGTTATTATTATTTAAAAAAAAGTTGGTTTTTGCTGCTTTTTGTTATGAATTTCTTGCAATAAGTAATACGGTGGCGCGAGTAATTGACAAGCACCACATCTTTTTTTTTATTTCTAATAAATTTAGTATAATATTTTCTATTATAGTAACACGTTTGTTATTGGTAAGTGTCAGTTACTGGGTGTTCGTTGCAAAGATCAGTTGACAAGTCTCGTGTGCCTGTAATGTCACCAGCACTCCTACCCATCAAAACCGGAACGCATTAATGCCCACATTACTGCTTGGCGGCAGAAATAGGAAAGGTGGCAGTACTTCCCTGTCTCATCTATCCCAAGGACTAGAGTTTAGGTCTCTCTAGTTTAGGTTTTTTATAGTAAGAATTATAATAGCTTTTTTATGACACATACTACAGTATAATCTTTCGTGAGGATTATATCTGTCAAGTAAACTAATCACTATCGATATATATTATGTTTAAAAACAAAAAAAAATTGAAATTAAAAACACACTTCTCTCTAAATGTCGTCCATTGATACCATCATCCTATATTATTAAACTAATAAATGAATGAAACACGATGAGCCCGCGCTCGGTGTGTTGTCGTCCATGTAAATTACACGGAATTATACCCACAGCAGTCCCGACCCGACCCGCGCCCGACTCGCACCCGCTCTCTGTGTGTTTCATGCTTTATTTTGTTTACTACGTTTTAAACTACATTTTTATCTTCACTCTGAAAAATTACATCTCAGAAATCTCCCATACGAGGTGTTCACTACAGAACGACGTTCTGGAACCGTTGATACATTTTTGAAATGTCTAGATATCTAAGTCATATCTCCTGTCGTAAATAACATTAGGCAAATTCTAAAAGTAAAGTATTTTCAATTGAATACCTTCTATCAATAATTCAAAAAAATATTCATATATAAAAGAAGTAAACACACGATTAATGGAGAATACTAGCTTTTGCAAGCTACGAGTAAGAGCGTTTGCGCATTTCGTCCGCAGTTCCGAATCCGAGAAATGGCGGTACGAAATGTCACAGAGACATTTTATCTGTAGTTGTACAAGCGATATTTGTATTTTCTCGGATTGGAATCGGACTTAGTGCACACGATTCGATGTGGGTCCGAGTTTTCTAGATTTGTATAATCTTGGATTGAGAACGAATGCGAATAGAAACGCGCTAAGAACATAGTTATAATAAAAGCAAGCAGGGCAACTCCCGCCTCTACCGTCTCAAACCAATACACTGTAATATCTAAATCAACATTTAGAGAAAAAGCTGCAGAAAGGACTTTACAGTTTTTTTTATAATTTTTGAGGTTATTAACATAAAACGATACATTTAATGTACTTTCTGCAATACATATTAAAGATTACTATTCAGTTATCTTTATATAGTTAGAAAAACTAATAAACTTATTTTCCCTTGATAAAAGCCGAAAGATTCTTGTAGTGAAATTACAAAACACTGTAATGTAACAAAAATAAAATACTGTATTGAAATTACCTTTGCTCAATGCAGTACTTAAGTTCTGTTATTTTGATACCTGCATCGCGGATTGGTATTTTGATTATGAAGAAATGAAATGCTGAACAATTCGAAATTTGGAAATGACCAAGTTATTTATTTAGGACAAGTTACACAAACAAAATGGTCAGAACAATAAATGTAATTATAGAGGCTCGAGTTACTGTGTTATTTCATTTACAAGTTGACACGGCATACGTTTATACATAGGAGTAACAGTAATTGACTACTTATAAATCAACTGTGGCTCGGAAACGCGCTCGTATTGCAAAAATATTGTCATGCTGCCAAGAGAATGTTCGTTATTATCAAAACAAATAACAAAGTTATTAAATTGACAAATGAACGGTAGAATACAATGGACACTTTAAGCTGGTCATCTACACTTATTTTTCTGAAAAACATTGGAAGAATATGACAATTTTACACGACTCATCAACAGTCACGGGATCAGTTTAGAAAATACTACCTGAAAGTTTGACTTTTATTTATTTATTTTGACTTGGCCTTAAGAGGATGCGTCCAAGGCGGAAGCAGGGAGCGGCGTGTGGCCGGTAACGGTCACAACACTAGGAAGCTTTACACAGATCAATTGTGACTTTACATTCTAATGCTTTACGATAGAGCACGTTTTTACTTTTACGTTTCAAGAAAACTGTTTCTGAAACAATTTGACATTTAGTTTCTAGTTATATTCTAGTGTAAATGTAATATAAATGTTAAAAGAAGTATTGTTTATATATTGGTATGTATATAACATTCTAGCCTTAAAAAAGTCTAAGAACTGGTCAATTTGATCGATATGAAAGTATAGTTATTGTACAGTATCAACCTAGATGTATAAGCAATACTTTTTTAAGTTATGTTTTTCGCGTTTAGTTTCACGCCTGTCAAAAAGATATGAGCAATTGCGTCTTCGCACAAAGTTGCTGTAATTACTGTTAGTTAACATTCAAACAGGATTGAGCTAGCGTCCAGCATTGTTTTTAAAACCCTGCCTTTATACCCGTGTCAAGTTGTCAACTGCCTCCGTGGCCGAACGGTTACCATGCCGGACTGCCACGCAGAGGTCCCAGGTTCGATTCCCGGGCTGGGAGAAATATTTGTATGGCCTACATTTATTTCTCTCGTGAGTTTGGGTGTAATTTGTGGTTGTCTATGTGTGTGTCCATGGCACCCGCGACACAGGGTTTCCCTAGTGCGGGGCTATGTTGAGTGTGAGCGTTATTATTATTATAAGTTGTGTACTTGGACGGCATTGAATGTACGACATACATAAATAGATAAATTGAATATTGCATCATGGTTAGAATGTTGTACGTAGCAAAGCTCCTTGTTTGTGCTGGGAAGTATGCTATGCCACGCAGTAATTTTCACATTTTTGAAGAGGCACATGGGCCTTGTCAATTTATGTTTGACAACAGGCACAGTGTCAGTACCCCTCAGATCTTTGCGATTTAAAGCTCTGAGTTACACTGCAACTGCTGTGGACAGGCGTATCGATCACCACCAGGAGCACGACTTGTTCGTCCCGTAACTTGGTAAATAAAAAAAACATATCCAAATTTTTGAAGCAGATAAATTTTTACGAAAAATTGCTATTATTATTTTAAAAGGCGTTTGAAAACGATTTGTGAGAAATACCGAGTATCCAATTCGGTTCCGAATAGAATTTGAAAACAATTTTTGATTTAGTAACTAAATACTTGATCAGTTACTTTTTAACATTGAAATTATTTTCGTGTAACTAAACTTTGTCGAACTAGATTTAAGTAGCTCTCACCTAATTGCAAAGGTCATTCAAGCCTGTACTAAACGCAGTTCCAATAGACTAGCTATTGATAACATAAAGGTTGAATGACCGGCCGCAAGCGCAAGTAACTTGAAGTCAGTCAAGGATCACCGCATACTTGCGTGCGCGCCGCTCGTGCTCTATGGTAGATAGATAGAAAATAATTCATCCGATATATATAATTGCAAATGTATGTTGTATTGTACATTATCTGCATAGATTTTATGACCGTATGCGAAGAAGCCATATTGTTTTCGGCTTTATTATTTATATTGACAATCAAATTGAAAGTGTTTTTTATTCTATATTGTAAATTGAATTATCGTTATTAAGAGTTGATACTACCTCAGCTCGCATTCCAATTTTTCCCCTATACTAATACGGTTCGGTACGATATTAAAGCGATTTGAAAAATGTGTATCGAATACTATACGTGTTCTATTCAGTTCTCAATTTAAAACAAAAATAACGCAGGCACTCAATATAGCCGCACCAGGGAAACCCTGTGTTATGTGCCATGGACACACACATAGACAACCACAAATTACATCCAAACTCACGAGAGAAATAAATGTAGGCCATACAAATATTTCTCCCGGCCCGAGAATCGAATCTACGTGGCATGTTAACCGTTCGGCCACAGAGAATCCAAGAAAATACGAAAGTTGCTTGA